AGCGGCCCGATGGACCCTTCGGGATCAATGAACAAGGACCCCATTAAGCACGCGCTAAAGGGCTTGAAGGGTCACATCAAGGATCTCAGCTCAGCGGGCCGTGACCTCAAATGTCAATATGAACGTTGCTTACATTTATTGAGAAACCCCTGGGACAACGCGAGTCCCCATTCCGGCCAGAGACTACCAACACCGGGCAGTTTGGTCCATATCGGTCTAAATCCCTTCGCGCCCATTTCCCGAGCAGGAATAGGGCCGGACCCGTGAGTTCCCTTCGTCGAGGTCCCTGAAACAAGGAGGTGTCTCTTGTCAATCGGGGACCCACATTGACTAACATGGCGCCTTGTGTCGGCAGGTGGCCCTGAGCCGGTCAGGGATCGTGTTCGAGGCTGCCTGAACAGGGGGGAGGGGGAGGGGGAGGCCAAAGAGAGATTCGAAGGCCCCTCGAGGCCAAAGATCAGTGGTCTGATTCTGAATAAATGGCTGCGGATCATAGTAAGGACTCCCTTCCGTACGGTCGTAACCTGAAAGGTCAATCAGAGGACCCTATATTTCTCGCCATCTACTTGGACCAGAGGCCACCAAAGCGCAACATTCGGCTCCCGGTCGGTCTGAGCCCTGGAGGTCATTTCCGAAACAAGGACGAGGCCGGAGCCCGCGTTTCTCGTTGATCGGTGCCCTTTCACCAATAGGGGGCCCTGTGTTCAGACCATGTTTTCCTCATATTTTCTTATATTTTTTTTAGATTACCAGACGGACTGAACGGGCTAAACATGATCAGATAGAATTGGATGGTACCGACGTGGCCGAAAAAAAGTTGTTCGCTACAGAACGAGATCAGGCGGGACAGGATGGACCTGGAATGGACCTGAATGGAATGCACCCGGTCATAGAGACCAGGGCGTAACCGGATGGATCAGGTGTAACTAAACATTGGCTTCGTCTGTTTTAGATGGAGCGCCGCCACGACTGTCGCAATGGCAGAAAGCCTTTTTGCGGAGCCAGTGTCCCCCCAGCAACATCGAACATGCTTGTTCGTCGCGCCCATGTGTCGTCACGTGACGCCCGCTGTGGCCGGGATGCTGCGGCTCCCACGGCGTTCACTAGTCAAAGTCAGCGAGAGTTTGCATGCGAAGCCGCATCACCTTGGAATGCCAGGTCTGTGGAACCGGCCCCTGGGGACCGTGGCGCGTGATGTTGCGCTGCGCTTGGGGTTTTGTTGTGGCATGTGGGTTCATGGGGAGCGTTTAACGTGGCACCTGTTTTGCGTTTGCTTTTGCTGCTTTATTTTATGGTGCTTTATCTTCTGCTTTGCAGCGTTGTGTTGGCACTTGGGCTGAAGTCGTGATAACCACCGCGTGAAAAAATTTTCATTGGTGACTATGATTATGACCGGGACTAGACGGAACTGGACGGCACTGAAGGGACATGGACGAGACCTGATGGAATCGGATGGAGCCGGATAAGACCTGGGACCAGGCTAGACTGGACGGAGCCCGATGGAGTCAGACGGGACTTGGAGTGATGGGACGGGATCAAACGGAAAGGGACGTGACCAATAAGAACGAGACGGGACAGCACGGGGTCAGACGCAGCCAGACGGGGCTAGACGGGACTAGACGGGGCCAGGCGGGACCAGAGCACGACCTGCCGGGACCAGAGCGGGGCCACATCGGGACTGTCTGGCTCCTCTCTCGCCCGTATGTTCTCAGATCGTTCCATCTGGTTTCGTCTGGTTCAATCCGGTCCCGTCCAGTATCGTCGGGTCCTGCCCGAGCCCGTCTGGTTTGATTTGGTACTATAAGGTTCCGTCCAGTCCTGTTCAGTCCATTGTATTCCCCTTCACGTTCCGTCCAGTCCGTCCGGTCCTGCCCCATCGCGTCGAGTTCCATGTGGCATCCCCCACCCCCAGCGCGTGCCGCCCCGTCCGGTCCGGACCGGTCCGCTCCCGGAGCCGTCTGGGCTCAAGATGCTTTATCCTGCGCCGTCCAGTCCCGTTAGTCTTGTGGTTTCTAGCCGTCACGGGGTGTCCGATGTGGTTATGTCGGCGGTATGAT